GATGGTTTTAAATATTTCTTTTTCGTTATTTTTTGACATTAAAACGTTAATTTAAGAATTACTTTTATTTACCTATCAACTGTTAGCCATTGTGTATATTTTATTTCAGTAATTTCCCCGTGTTCCAAAATTTCGGTAATTTTTTTTATGACATTTTTAGCTCTAGGACACTTTTGGCAGTGTAGTAAAAAACAATTGGATTTTGATTCTTTACAAACCATCTCGTTAAAGCTGTCACGGTAAGATTTATCGAATTGAATATGTTTTTTCAGCAAAGTTTGCTTTATTCCTGCGTATCTTAGTCTTAGATTTTGGTGGATTTTGCAAACGCAAACATTATGACTGCCTTTTCCACCAGCCAAAATACAATAAGGGGGTCGCATTTCTCGAAATTTGGTCAGGAAAATCGTTATTTCGGGATATTTTTTACAAAACTTCCGGTATAATTCGTCCAAATTTCCCAAAACTAAGCGTTTCTAGATACATAAAAAAGAAATAACATTAATTTATTTTACCGTATCAATAGTTGAGGCAATATAGCTAAGATTTAAAAAAGTCCTTACCGATACTCTTTGACGTTCACCACCGTTTTTGCGAAACGATTTAATGTCTTTCATACCCGGCATTACACGGCTTACATCATCCGACAGGTAAAAATTGTTTACTACTTCTAGGACCTTATTGGGAATCGAATTGCCAATTTTTGCATCTGGAAAAGATCCATATCCACAAATTTCTCTTAGGTTTTTAGCTTTTTTTACCATCCAGCGGGTAACCCCAAAAGTTTTAGCTGTTTTTCGAATGCTCCATGATTTTATGTCCGGTATAGTCGTCAAAAGAGAAATTTTCTGTCTGCGATTGTCTTGACTTGAAATCGCTTTTTTTAATTCATTCACCCAATTATCCTGTTCATCGCATATAGATCTTTTTGCTACTGAAATACTTTTTTTAGGTATTTGATAAGATGGATCTTCCGCTTCACAGTCGCTTAGATCTTCACAATTATTTGCTTCATATTCGATTTCTTGGGAAGCACGATTAATTGTAGGCCTAGTAAATATAAATGTATCTTTTTTTCGATACATTAATGTTTTACAAGATTTACATACAAAGAGACCTTCAAGAACATGAAATTTCTGATGCCATTTATTATTAATTTGAAAATAACCAAGTTTGGAGCGATGTTTATCCAAACCGAGCGGATTACAACAAAGATTTGCACGTGACATTTTAAAACATAATGACAAGTTTTATAAATTTATGTCAGAGAGAAATGTCAAAGACAAATCTGTGAATGACACATCCACACGGTGTAATAAGGATATTTTTAAAAACACTTATAATAATTATAAATAATTAATATTTGTTTATCAGTATTTAGCTTGAAATTATTTTCGTATTAAATACATTTTATAAATAAACTGGATGCAATACATTGTCAACTATTAACTATCACGCAGATTTTCAAAAAAAAAAACTAAAAAAGAATTAAACAAAATTTTTGTTGTTTTTACATGTGTTTTTTAACAATATAGTTAATGTATAATAAGAATTTATTAAAATAATTACTTTAAATGAATTTAATTCATTTTGCTTGACCGCTTTACAAATAATAAGTAGTTTAATTAGAATTAGAGTCAGCGCGTTGAAACCCTTAAGCGCGTGAGTGTCCGGGTGGCATCAGAAAAATATTCATAACTTCCTTAATATTGGTGGTTACTAACTTTTTTTTTTAATTTACTCGATTCTGTTTTAAGCATGAAATGGATTTAATCCTATTTTAGAATAAAATTGAGAACCTGGCCAAACTCGAAATTGTTTTTAAAAAATTGTAAAAAAAATAAAAAAAATAGAATTAAAAACAATTGATTAATATGTAATAAAAAATATAGACATTTATCTTTCTTATAAAAAAAACACTTAAATATGTCTATTAGTTTCCGAAATACAAACAAATACAAAAATAGATGCGTAAATTTTCGATTCGCAATTGTTTCTAAATTAAGTGAAATTTTTAAAAATAAAATTAGGGAATAATAATCTATTTATACCTCTATTAAAAACACAATTGTTTTTAAAATCCATAAAAGAACTTTTTTAGGTGGCCGGTTTCATTTGATTTGACTCTATTAGGTTTGCGGAAATAGGGGTGGAATTTTTGGAATCTTTAAACATTTTTTAAAAGATCTATGTCAATTCTTTAACATTTTTCAACAAATTACCCAAGAAAACCCAGGGCAAATTAGGCTAACTTAAAACGTTAATAACTTTTTTATTTTCAATTTCAACACCCTCTATGTTTTTACATAATCAAATTAAAAAACATTTCGATTGATGTAACTATTCCCTATACCTAAATTTAATAATGTCAGAGATATTTAACAATTTTTAATATTGACTATGACTATAGACCCAGAATAGTCAAGAAGAGCAAGGTCTAATGTAAAAGTAAGAATTAAGAAATGCTTGAATGTAAATGGAGGACACTGAACATTTAGTAATAAAATAGTAATAAAAATTGTTAATTAAAATATTGTTGGTTTATTAAAATGTTACAGTTACGCATTTTTTTTATTAAAATATTTCATAAATTAATTTTAATATTTTATTGTCTCCTTCATCTAGTTGAAGCTACAGCTTTGTTGATTTTCTTTCAAAATAAGCAAATTTTGTGTTACTTTTAAATTTTAAATATGTTTTTTATAATTAACTAACTGCTTTTTTATCAGTAATTTTGTTGCCTAAACAAATTGTTTATAACAACTTGAAAAATTGACGCCATTAAATTTTGAACAATGATATGATTCTTGATACAAAATAATATTTAAAATTTTATAAATTTTTAAAGATCTCTGAATTTATTAAATTATTAACTTTAGGTAAAGGGATTACTTACATAAATCAAAAGGTTTTTTAATTTGCTATTTGATTAGGTAAAAACAAACCGGGTGTTACTTTTAAAATAAAAAAGTTATTAACGTTTTAAGCAGTGGCGTAGCTACCGAAGGGCTAGATGGTGCTGTGCACCGGGGCCCCCAAGCTCAGGGGGGCCTCGGACCCTGACCACCAAACCTCGTATTGAACTAGCTAAAAATTCTCCCATCTTTAAAATGTAAAAAAAATAAAATAGTTTAAAATTTTCTAAAATTTGTCATATTAGTAGATTATGATTATTACAACCAGTAAAAAGATATTGAACTTTGAAATTTTTTGCATTTAACATTGAGGCTTATGTGAAATAACAGTTTTTATTTTATTTTATAAAAAGGAGGCTTATGTGAAATAACAGTTTTTATTTTATTTTATAAAAAGTACTCTTTAGATTCCATTCAAAATTAAGAAAAAGATAGAAACAAATATTTAAAACATTTAAGATACATAATTATTGCTTCGAACATGTGGTAGTAATGATTGATAAATAACTGTGAAATATGCTCTCTATTTTCCCTCTATTTCTCTAGGTATTTCTTAATATTTATCACCTACTTCTACTTGAATTAACTAAGGCATTGACTAATAGTCAATGACTATTCACAAATTCTGTAAAGAAATAATGAGAAAATATGGAGTGCTAGTATGCGACCTAACAGAAGTATTTTAAGCAATGTTACTGTTTCAATCAATTCCTGTCACTTCTGCAGAAGCTGATAGATCATTTAGCAAATTAAAAATAATAAAAAATTATTTAAGAAATACTATAGACCAAGCTCGACTCCGACATTTATCGCTAATAGCAATTGGAAACCAAGCCGCCCGTCATTGATACTATTGCCAAAAAAAAGATAACTTTTTGCTCGGCCGTACCGGCCCAATGGCGCCCCCAATAAATATAATATAAATTTAATTGGTGCAATTTATTATTTACCACAGTTTATTAACAAATATTAATTTACACATCAGTATAGGAGGTAGGTCTGACTTTAATATAATAACTGGAAGAGACTTCTTATGTTTGGCTTTGTATATGACTTAAAAGTTTATACAAAAGTGCTCTTTTAGTTCCACCCTTACTTCTTAAGAAGTCCCATAAGCCAACTGAATGGCTTGTGCGGGTTAGGGGTAGGAACGGACCGCGGGCTTAAAGTCCCCTCCGAAGGACTAATACACAATAGGACAAACACAAATAAACAGCCATACCCGTGGGATTCGAACCCACGACCTCCGGCTTGTAGTCAGCATGCACTAACCACTCGACCACCGTCGGCGATAACTGTATATAAATTGTTTTTAATGTTTTATGTACAATAAAGTGTTTTACATACATACGTTAGGGTGTCCCTTATAGAGAAGCTTTTAGAAATTTTTAGGTTTTGCATTGGGCGCCTGCTAGTTTTTTTTTCTTTTGATATAGAAAAGATGTACACCAAATTTTAGCTTAATTGGACGATTGCAAACCCCGCCTCAAGCGGCCTAAAGATAAAGATATGTGTCAATTATGATTTTTTTTATAATTATTTACCAGTTTTTATATTTTTAAAGCGAGGAAGCGATGTGTTTGTCAATACATCACTGAGCACAGTGGCGGCGCATGCGCGGATGGCTAAGCAAGCATCCGCGAAAAGTTGTGACAGGCATTTTGTTTTTAATGGTTTACCAATGTTGTATGCGTGTTTTTTTCGAAAGTGTTATTTGTAAATTACAGAAAATTTTGCCCCAGTATTTTTAATCATTAGAATTATTAAGGCAACGAAGTCTAAAACCTTTCTGTCATTCAACAAACATCATTATCTACAAGTTGTAGACTACAACGTTCAAACAAACACTGTTATTTGTAAATCAAAGTTAGCGATATGAGTGCATCTAAACGCAGAAAGCCATTGTACCTAATTGATCACACGACTGAAAACATAATGGGATGTAAGTTACCATCGCGGATTCAAGTTTTGAGATTTCTCATTTACAAATTACGGGAAAACAATGGATCCATGAGTGTTTCTGAGGCAAGTAACGCTGCTGCTGTTGCTGGGTGTGAACATTGGCAACGAGCCCGAATTCCAACGATGCAAAAATCTCGCATAATTAAGAAAATTACAGCCTTGCATAAGGAATGGAAAAGTCTTCAAAAAAATGCTACACGGCGAACCGACCGGCAAGCCCACCTTGAAGCTTCTTTCAAGAATACGTTCGATGACCTCTTTGATGTTGCTCATGCCGACGCGATAAAAATTATAAAGATACAAGAGGACAGAGATTTTCTTATTCTACAGCGGCAGAAGGGACGGCCTGGCTCGTTGTCATCTGTCCGTGATAAGAAGCTGCATGGCAAGGAGTCAAGACGCACCAAGAGGGAGCAAAAAGAAACGAAGAGGAAAACAAAAGTGCAAGGTTAGGTGCTTTTATTTACATATATCGTTAAAGTAATTGGAAAATCACATGCATTAATTTTCAGAGATGCCTCCGTCATGTGCGTCGTCAAGAGATGTCCACTCGTCTGAGAGTGATAGTGAGGATAATAATGAGCAGCAAGGGAAAGCAGACGAAGCAGAACACGTCTTTGTGGAAACTGTTGATACTGTGGAACAAAATTCTAAGAGGAGAAGAGGTTGTACAAATGTTTTAAGTTCAAATTTAGTAGCTACAATTGATACATCTAAGATAAGTGTTAGGAAGTCAACTGCTGTTGTAAGTGCTACAGCAAGTGCTCTTAATGTAGATGTTAACTCAATCAATGTATACAAAAGCTCGCTTCATCGCGCACGGACAAAGCTGCGAAAGCAAAATGCTGAAAAAGTTAAAGAAAAGTTTCAAGAAAATCTGCTTCAATCTGGCACTAAACTTATTTGTCATTTTGATGGGAAAAAAATGAAGATTGGAAATACAGTGCAAGAGCGCTTACCTGTTGTTGTCACGGGTTACAACATTGAAGAGCAGCTGCTGGGCGCTCCCCGTCTTGATAATGGAACAGGGGAAGTTGTTGCCAGCGCCGTATTCCAGGCTTTAGAATCTTGGAATTTGACTGATAAAGTAGAAAGCACGTGTACCGATACAACAAGTAGCATGACAGGTATTAAACCATTTGATCTGCCCCCTAACGCTATCAAAGCGGTAATTTATTGTTAATAATAAATGCTGCCTCTTTCTGTAGGCTGTGACAAGGGTGCGTGCGTCATCTTGGAGAGAAAGTTGAACCGCGATCTCTTATACGCAGCTTGTCGCCACCACGTGTTTGAGGTCATCCTTAAGGGCGTCTTCGAAGTTACAGTAGCTGTATCTTGTGGTCCTGAAATTCCTTAAGAGATTTCGCGAGGCATGGAAAGAGATAGATATATCGGCGTTTAATGCAGGTTTCGCTAACCTAGGGCATCGGATCGCTTGGAGCAATTACGGCAAGATGAACTCACTTTTGTTATGGGAAGGCTCAATGTAAGTGAAATAATTATTACTTACCATCCTATTATACAATAAAATTAATTTAAAAACATATTACAGGAGAGTCAACCTCGCGATGACTATCGAGAATTTCTGGAGTTAGTCTGTATTTCATTGGGTGGAATGCCTCCACGAGGAATTAAGTTCTCTCCACCTGGTTGCATTCACAATGCGCGCTTCATGTCACGGGCTCTCTACTCTCTGAAAATTTATCTTTTCAAGAATCAGTTTAAGATAACTGTTACAGAAGAAAGGCATATCCGTGACTTCTGCATGTTCGTCATTCAAGTCTACGTGAAGGCTTGGTTTACAGCTATTTCTGCGATTAAGGCTCCCTACCATGATTATCAATTTATTAAGAAGCTACACGAGTATGCCAGTATTATTATTATTATTATTAAGAAAGTCTCAGAAGTAGCTCTGAAGAAGTTCTGCGGTCATCTTTGGTACCTGACACCTGAGTGGGCCATTCTGGCACTTTTGGACGAAAGTGTTCCATCTGACGTCAAACCTAGCATGGTTCAGGCTTTGAATGCTGCAGAGGCACCTGCAGTGTCCGGAAAGGTGTCCATGTCATACAAACGCCTTTCCGTTGCACCTAAGGAATTGCTAAGTTTTCTAAAGCTAAATATGAAAGATTTTGTGTCACGAAAATCATTGAACATATTTCACAGATTTGATTTGAACACTGAATTTTTAGCTTTAGACTGTGAACAATGGCAAAATTGTGAAAGTTTTGTAAAAGCGCGAGATTTTTTTAGTGATTTTTCTGTGGTTAACGACTGTGGTGAAAGGGCTGTGGGTCTAACCCAGGAGTATCTTGGCCAAGTCAAAACAGAGGACAACTTCCAAAATCTTCTTTTGGTGGCTCAGCACTCAAGGAGAGTAATGCCAATGAAAAGTTTGGACAAGGAATCCTTGATTACTGGTATCTTTTAATTTCTGATTTTCAGTAATTTGTTTCTATTGCTGCTTGAATCGCATGCTTGTGCGCAAGCAATATTTGTTAATTTTATTTTTTTTCTATTATCTGTTCATGAGTTTGTGTTTTTTTTTACAAAAATAAGACCTTAAACCTTAATTTAACAAAATAGTATTTATTTTTTAATTAACCTCCTCTTTTAATAATTTTAAAACTTTCTAAGCTGTTGAGGCAGGGTTTGTAATTGACCGATCAAGCAAAAATTTTGTGTAAAGACTTACAACATAAAATGTAAAAAAATAAGGGGGCGACTGACTTTTTTGCCCAACTTCGATTTATAAGGGACACCCTAACATACGTGCATAAACTTTTTGATTTACTTTGTTTTATTGTTTAATACCAATATTATTAATCCAAGTATACCTACATACTCTTCACCTGTAAAACCTAAGCGATGACTAAAGCTTACACAAGACACTTATGCACATACATAAATGTAGTAAGTAGTTTTGTTGTGCCATGCAGTGCACGATAAAAAGCTGATGATAAACTAGTAGCTTTGTACCTTTAAAGTATTTATATATATTTTGACTTGATAAAAACTAAACAGTTTAGTTAGGGCCCCATTTTTTTTTTGGCACCAGGGCCTTTACTTACCTAGCTACGCCTCTGGTTTCAAGCCCAATTTTACCAGGTTTTTCTCGGGCAATTTTGATTGAAGCGCATTTGTAAAATTTTAACGAAAAATTGATAACTCGAAAACTATTTACTTTAGGTATAGTAATTTTACTCAAAATTTTAAATAGAATTTAAAAGTGTAAAAATAAATGGGGTGTTCTATTTGAAATAACAAAGTTGATGTAACTTTCGGCCAAACCGGACGTATCATTTTGTTTAAAATATTTTAAAATTTCAAATTGATATCTTTTTCCGTTCCCCAGAAACTTTCAATGGACCACGAATGTGAAACACCCTGTATATCAGTGGTGTTTTTAGGTTGTGATATCACTAAAGATTCTAAAACAATGTACAATCGTCAAACTAAAAGACCAAGATTATATAATATTATATATTAATTGGATTTTTTTTATTTTAATTTTTTTTCTCGTTCCGATATTATTTTTTAATTTAAAAATAATAATGATTCTGAAAATTTCAAATCGATATTTTAATTTCTAAAGGTCGCTCAAGATTTTTTTAACTTTCAAAGTATTTTGAATGTTTTCGAGCGACCTCTGAATATAAATATCAACGAACTTTTAGCAACCTTTAGCAATCAAAATATTGATTTGAAATTTACAGAATTTTTATTATTTTCAACCTAAAAAATAATATCGAGACGAGAAAAAGAATTAAAATAAAACAAAAATTCAATTTTTGACGATTTTGAAAATTTTTAAAAATCTTGAGCGACCCCTACAAAATTTTTAATCGAGCTGATATTTTGACAGGGCTCTTAAAACATGACAAACCAACATATTTTCACAAGCGACGAGAAAAAAAAAATATTCTTTTTTTTTTGGGCCACCCTAATATATATATAGATATATATATATATATATATATATTGAATATAAGATAAATACAAATGTGTTGTTTTAGTTTTAAAAAAATCGAAATTATTATAGTATAATTTATATATAGATTTATAACAAAAAGATAATATTTATTAGTATATAGTATAATATTTTTAAAATCGGTTAAAATTTTTCATGGGAGGAAAATCGTATTGAACTGTGTTATTTATTGCTTGTTACTTTATCATGATTTTAAAAAATTGATCCGAATGTTTGACATCACTTATAACAGTGAAAATACAGACTTTACTGTGTAGATCCAAACATTCGGTAAAGAGCGTGATAAACACGGCGGCTGTTACAATAAAATTGTTCTGGTAAAATGCGCTTTCGTAAAAAACGCGTTGCTTTTTAATAAATGGCTTTAATGCAAAAAAATACCATAAAACTTACAATTTCACACAGTGTTACCACACGATAGCATTAAAATATCCAGCTAATGATGACAATTTGTATTGTTGGCGGCAGATATTAATTAATATACTTTGTTTGAGAAAAATTCCTATAATAATAATAATTTTTTTTAATATAAAACAAATATAACAAACTTATTTCATTATTTCCACTTAAAATTGCAAAATATAGTGTACTATTAGCATTTAAAAAAGTTGAATTTGTTTAAAAACAAAACATATAAAATAGATAATGTTAGGAACATGTGACTTTGTAGTACTAATTTAGTACATCTGCCGTATATTTGCGAACGGTATTGAGGTTTGAGCTTTGTCTGCTATCATTTAAATTACCGTAAAAAGACGGTTATTACTGTACGAATGGAAACCATTGATTTGACCTCAATCCCGACTGTCTTGTCGCGTTTCATAGTAAATGGACAAAGCATTCACATTATTTTTATATACATTTGGATAAATTTTGATAAAAATAACTTGGATTTTACGTCCTTGGACGGATGTTTAAAACAACCGCTAAACTCACCTTTTATTTTTAATACATTTAAACAAATTCTGGTAAAAATATATTTGATATTTATCGCACAATTCAAAAAAAAAATAAAAAATAACACAATAGTCTTAAAAAGTTTAAAATATGTATATTTAAAATTTAGTGCAGTTTTTCCGTTTGTTTTCTATATAATCTTATACAATAGAATAGAATAGAATAGTTTATTGTCATCAAAAAAAATGTTACATGACTAGTCAAAAAATTTCAAGTTACAATGAAATAAAAACATAATAGGTACAATAAATAATTAATAAGTAAACACAGTGTATATACAAAATAAAATCAATTAATACAATTAATACAAAAAACATTATAAACATTAAAATAGCTGGAGGTAGTATAAAAAAAACTCATTGTTTATTGTTTTGATTAAAAACCGCAATTATTTAACTTTCGAGCAATAGCGTTGAGATATCACACTCCAGGAACTCTTCAACAGTATAAAATGCACCAGTGGTAAGTATGCATTTTATTGACTTGGTAAATTGATTTCTTGGTAATGTTTTTATTTTTTTAGGAAGTTTATTGTAAAATTTTACTCCCCAGTAATCCACGAATTGCTGTGTGGCTTTCTTAATATGCAGTGGGATTAATAATTCATCTCGGTTTCTTGTGGCAAAATTATGGGTTTTTTCGTTTGTGTTAAAGTTGCTTAAGTTTGAATATACATATTTAAGACTTTCAAAAATATAGATAGAAGTTAATGTAAGTATTTTTTCCATTTTAAACCATGACCTACATGTTTCATCGTGGTTCAAGTTATAAATTATTCTTATTGCTCTTTTTTGTAGAATAAAAACTTTATTTGCAGCTGATGATCTTCCCCATATAATAATTCCATACATGAGTAGGCTTTGAATGTTAGCAATTAGCAATTATAATAAATTGCCGTGACCCATAATGTAAAGTTGTAGGTTTATTCATTTTTTAGATTTATTATACCTTTTAATCTTTTAATCAAGTAACCTTAAAATTAATCGTAAACAAGAAAACGTTTAAAAATCGAGGTGAAGTAAAAAAATTAAATATATTTTTAAAAATTATTTGACCTATTTAATTAAAGTTTATTTTGTTTTTTTAAACTTTTTTAAACTCAACCACAGTTAATGGCCACCAAATGAAAAAAATATGTTGTATTGTAAAAAAAATATTTTTAAACTTTTATAACAAATAAACTATTTACTATTACAACATTAATGAATTATTTTTTGCAGGATTCGAATGTTCGGTACTATAATATATTATATTTTATATACTATACATATATTTTTAGCATAATAAAAATTATATTATTTTGTATTCCTATTATTCTATAGAATAGGTTTCATACTTTCATAATTTATAAGTATAGGGATACTTAGATATAATAATAAAGTATGGAAACCACATATTTACATAAGAAT